AAATACAAACATTGCTAGCTATTAGGCAAGATTCAAGACTTGGAAAAAAACACAACTGAAATTACCCAGGATTGTTTAGGCAGTGGCCAATCAGAGGTAATATTTGGTTGTAAAGTGGGGGCTCAGCCATTCTCTTTTGATTTAATGCATTTGTGGGAGTTCATGTTTTTTTCCTCAGCTTTTATTCATTGAGGGGTAGTTGGAGGGGTGGAGAGAGGTAGGGGAGAGCTGGCAGCGAGTACATAAAGCATTTACTGGCTAAAAATACCTACACTTCTGCCAAAATTGTGTTTATTTGTTAAAATACATTTCATCATGTTTTTGCAAAACTAAGTGCTGCTTCCCCCTCCCCCGCTCCATGGATACATGGGGATTGGGTTTCAGGGTGAGGTACCAGCTAACGCTTTGGGGACATTAATGTACCAGCTGCTCCTCTAGCATTCATTTTATTTCCAGTCCCTCGGCTGGTGTTACACTTTGTTTTTGTGTAAAGGAATCAGGATTAGAGGGCCTTTGTTAGTGAGGGAGAGAGAGGGAAAGAGAAGCATCCCCTTTGAGCTCCATGCACACAGGCAGCATAGCAAGCAAGGTTCAAAGCTTTGATTTACTTCTTACTAGCTGACTTTTTCAAGAAGAAATGATCCACCGCATCAGGCCGCTGTGTTGGAAGCTGGTATGACAATGGATTTGGGTGACTGGGGTTTCCAGGATGCAATTTACAGCCACCAAGCCAGGGTTACTCTTGAGCTCCATGCAGAAAAAAACACTTCCAGCCTGGCAAGAGGAGTTTGTAAAAAGGAAAGGTGGTCGCTGTCTGAGGACTGAACAGAAGGTCTGGGTTGCTACTTGATTCTTTGACAGGGTTAGCATTATTTTCACCCACTTGGAAATGCTGAAAAGTCACCCTCACTGGCCGCCTTGTCTCAGCATAGCGACCTGCTGGAACTACACCAGTCAGATTCTCCTTTGATGAGCAAATCGCCTGGGCCCCCGGGAGAAAGAGTGGCCTCCTTTATTGAGCAACAACGACTAAAACGGAATTGCTAAACACACACATGCACACACACCCCCACACGCTCGCACACATGTGCACAATGTGCATACACATGCACACACATAACTGCATGTGTGTACTTGCACACACATGCACACATACATTCACACACATGGGCAGACACACAAACACACTCAACATAGTCTTTAGTTGTTGTTTAAGACTGGAACAAAATTACTAAACAAAGTTCCCCCAATGAACACTTCCCTCTTTTATTTTTAAGAACAGAGAAAGACAAAGTGAAAAAAGGAGGCTTCCATATCCTCCTTCCCTTCCCCCTCACCAAAACACTCATTCTGAGGATGGAGCAGGGGTGGAAAAGTTCAAGAAAATTAGGCCTTGCCTATTTACTGACTCCTTAAGGCACTATTGTTGCTCAGCAGCTGTTCCTTTTGCTTCTTAGGCTGAGAATGGAGAATGACACCGGCAGGCGGCGGTGAGGGGGCGGGGGGAGCAGCCACATTTAATGGTTTTGGCACCTCAAGAAAGAAAGAAAGATGAGCTTTGTTTCTCAAAAAAGAGCAGAGATCTTGTTTCTGGTTGCTGTTATCAGAACCTGCTTTTAACCAAATGCAGTTGGATGGTAATGGTAATGTGAGGCCCTGTGTGTGTGTGTGTGTGTGTGTGTGTGTATCAGTGGAAAGGGAATAGAAGAGAGAGAGGATCAAATCACGCTCCATTCAACCTTTAATTCTGTATTTAAAAAAAAAAAATATATAGAAAGGGCTGAAATTTTTCAGCCAAATGAAAAGCAGTAAAGTGGTTGAGAAAGACTATGACTAAGAGAGCATTGCAATGGAAAATATGTAAAAAGAGAAGTTAAACCAGCTGGCTTATTTAATTTTGGCTTTTTCCCCTCTTTTCACATTTTTTTTTTCCTTCAGCTTAGACTAGGGAAAAATGTACTGTGTAAATATCAAGGGTTTTTCCTAGTATTTAGCCCTCACAAAATTCTTCACAGGATTTAGCTGCACACTGGAGCTGGGCGTGAACAAGACATTTCATTCAGGTCACAGGCTGATTCTTGCTCGATGTTTTAACTAAGCTCTTATTATTTATTCCAGGAGCCTCCTGTGCCTGGGGCTGGGGATGAGAGGGTGAGTTGGTGGGAAGGGGAGGGAGAGCTCCAGTAACTATTCGTCTCCCCACATTATTTTATTGCAGGAATGTTTCTTCTTCCGTTCTTCTATTATATCCAAGAACTAAATATCAAAGCTCTTTTACAAAGTATAAGGAGCCCTGGTGGTGCAATGGTTAAGCACCTGGCTGCTAACCAAAAGGTTAGCAGTTCAAACCCACCAGCAGCTCTGCTGGAGAAAAGACCTGGCGATCTGCTCCTGTAAAGTTTTCAGCCTAGGAAACTCTGTGGGGACTGTTCTGCTAGGTCCTATAGGGTCACTCTGAGTCAGAACGGACTTGATGGCACACAACATTCCAAAGTACATTCATACATTTCCAGTTTATATTAATTTATTCATGTATTTGACAAACATCACTTAAGCACTATCTATATACTAGGCATTGTTTTTAAGTGCAAGGGAAACAAAGATAACAAAAACGTATTCCCTGCCTTATACTTCAAACAAAAAGAGAGACAGATATCTAGACCAGTAATTATAATAGTGTAGTACATACTAGCAGTCCCTGGGTGGTGCAAATTGTTAATTGCTTGGCTACTAACCTAAAGGCTGGCAGTTTGAATCCACTAGTGGCACCTTGGAAGAAAGACCTGGCAATCTACTTCCAAAAAGTCATCCATTGAAAACCCTATGGATCACAGTTCTACTCTGACACACATGGCATCACCATGAGTCAAAATTAAGTTGATAGCAACTGATTTATTTTTGTTAGTTTGTTTTAGTAAGTAGTAGTACATAACAGAAAGGAAAAATGTAACTCTGCCTAAGAGAGCAGGGAAGGCTTCCAGGAGGTGGTAATATTGGAATTGAGTTTTGAGGGGTAAGCAGGAGCTTACCAGGCCAGGGCAAGAAAGGGCATTCCAGGCAAAAAGAACAACAGTGAAAAGGCCTTATTTTCACCTTGGGTAAGTAGGAGAGTCTGCAGTGGTATTCCCAAACTCAGGTTCTAGAAACCCCAAAAGACAGCATTTAGAGGTGAAGGTAGAATTAAGCCTAGTGGAAAATAGCACCCATACATCATACTAAAGGGACCAAGTGCAAAGATGAAACCCAGTAGCAAGGCAGAAGCTGGAGGCAGCATAGATTTGGGATTGTGGGTAGGGGGAGAATCTGGAGAGAAAGTCTTGAACAGAGTGATAGGGGCTTTTTAGAGGCAGTCCATGGGGTTTGTCTAGGGGTGAGGAAGGGCAGTGTTAAAGGCATGGAGCCTGTTGGGGCAGGCATGGAAGCAAGACAAAGCATACCATAGTCAGGGGATTAAGGTCAGTCTTCATGACTGATGCCCAGGCAATTAAAGAGGATGGTGGAGGAGAGGGAGTCAGGGGCTAGATCATGAGGAGCCTTGTAAAATGTGCTCAGTGGTTTGAGTACCTTCCTTCCAACTGGAATTTCCCAAAGGATGGCATGGGTGCCACTGGTAATAATCAAGATGTTGTTTCATGGTACATGAATGATGTTTTTAAAATTTTAGTAGTTATGTATTTGTTTTTAAATTTTTAATAGTTATGTATTTGTTTCTATACAAATTAGAAAAATATGTAACTAGTACATTAAATCTAAATTTTCACAGGTAAGAAAATTGCTTAAGATGAAGCAAAAGTAGATAGCACCATGGTGAGTTGACATATAGACAAAATTAGGAAACTTTTAAAAGAGATTGTACATATACACCGCAAAAACTGATGAGGTGTTCTATAAATGACTGAAGTTTGAAAACTTTGGCAGTAGGCAATGGGGAACTCCTGAAAATTTTTAAGCATTGCACTTTATTTTGGAATGTTGATTTTTTGGGGGGGTGGGTGAATGGGTACTTGAGGTACCTGTTAAGGGAGATTGCATTTATCTTACAGAATCACAATAGACTGCATAATATTCAGGTTCATGTTTCAATACAAGTTCAATATAAGCTCTAATTTGAGCCCTGAAGCACTTAGACAATACTTCTAGCAACTTCTTGTAATAATTTGAAATACCCATGATTTTCTTTTAATCTTGAACAACTTGATGTATATATTCAGGTGAATAATTTTAGTAGAAATGTACAGTGGTCAAAAAGACTTCCATGGTATGGGGTAATGGGATACTAAACTGTGTGTATTGAATGTTACGTAAATCTATGTCTTTGCAATTCTCTTGTTAATTTGGTTTACATAGACTTCATTTGTTTTATTAGCTCCTGTTAATTCCAACCCATGGCCTGAGTGGAGCAAACAGCTAAGCACTTGATTATTAACCAAAAGGTGGGCAGTTCGAACCTACCGGAGGCACCTCAGAAGACAGGCCTGGTGATCTGCTTCTGAAAACTCACAACGTTGGAAACCCTATGGAGCAGTTCTAATCTGTACAGACAGGGTTGCCACGACATAGACCTAAGTGTCTTATTTTTTGGATATACTTGGTTACATTAAAAAACTTAACAAACACAAATATTTGTTGACTGAATGAATATCTCCACCCTCTTAAAATGTCTCTCTTTTACCTTATTAAAAGTATTCTCATATGGTTAAAGATCATTATGTATCCATGATAATCACAATCTCATGCAACCAAGGATTTAATTTCTGACAAATCTGGATTCAGAGTAATTTACAAATTGAAAAATGATACCAAGAAACTACGGCCTGCCAGGCAGTGTTGTTTCTTGGTTCCAGGAAGAATTCCAAAGAGGGCTTTTCTGCAGCCAACACACCTATTTTGCTATAACGTCCTGTATAAGATGTTATTTTTGTATGTCAGAGTAGATTAATGGCTTTAACAAATAACCCCTAAATCTCAGTTGTGTAAAATAACAAAAATGTATTTCTTACTTATCAAAATTCAGTGCAGTTGTTCATAGTTGGACAGCTCTCCTGGCTGCCTCTGTGACTAGGGAATCAAGGGTTTTTCCATCTTGAGTTATGGCCATTTTCAAAACATGGCATCCAAGATCACCTGGGAAGGTGGGAAAAATATGGAAACAGTATGTCAGATAGTTACTTAACTTTACATAGGTGTCAAACAAACTGCTCACATTCTGTTGGTTGGAAACAGTCATATGGCCCCCAATAGATACAAGGGGGCTAGGAAATACGCTCTCTGACTAGGTAGCTGCTTCCCAGTAACCACTTTGCACTAAGAAAAAGGAGCACAAACCTTTGGTGGTTAGCTAACCTATTCTACCATTTCAAGATATATCACCCAGGACTGTATTCTGATGATGGAGTAACTATGAGTTGATCAAGAGATAATGTAAATGAGTGGTTCTTTACATTTTGCGGGTCATGAATCTGATAAAATTCATGAACCTTCTCCCTAGAAAAACACATAAGCCTAAACACAAACAATTTGCATAGAATTTCAGGGGCTTCATGGATTCTTTGAAGCCCATCCACTGAAATCATTAGAGGGTCATAGACCTATACTCTTGATAGAGTTGAGATCATTTTGTTCAGAGGTATATTTTGCAATATATTGTAAATCATGAACCATGGGATAACTTAAATCAGACTTTTTTTAATCTGCCAGATTGGAGTCTACATTTTTAAAAAACTAATTGCTAGAATTAAGAGATCCAGAATAAAACTAGTGTGCCATTTAACTTTCAGATGCCAGTTTCAAACTAAGCAGAAATTCTTGTCTCTACCACTGAAAAAGACTTTATGTTGGAATCTCGCCATCCATTTTGCCACTTACCAATCCACTTCACAAGTCAACCAGGGTGACATCTAAAAATTAAAACTTAGTCATGCCTCCAACCTAAAGACCTTTCAAATAGATACAGACCCAAATCTTTAACCCAAATGATATATAATACCCTGAGTAAACAGACACTATCTGCTTCTCACATTGTGTGCCCCTTTGCTCTCTGTGTTCCCTCCCAAGTAGGCTTTCTTTCACTTTCTCCCACCTCAGGACCTTTGCACATGCCTTTGTGCAATTCTTAGAATTGTTTTCATTCTTTATGTAGTTAACTGCCACTCACCTTTCAGATCTCAGCTCAACTGTCACTTTGTCAGGGAAGACTCTGCAGTGGAACCAAGTAAACCAGGTCTCCTATATGTTCTCAGAGCACCCATTACGTGCCTTTCATAGTGTTTAGTACAGTTTGTAACAATATGTTTGGTCATCCCCACTAAAAGGTAAGGTTCATGGGGGCAGAAACTGTGAATACCTGGTGCTACAACTCAGTCCCTGACTTAGTGTGTGGAATATAGTGGGCACTTAATATTTGTTGAATAGATCAATGAATAAATGAATGTTGCAAATCCTGTACTCTATATCTTGAAAAAAAAAGCTAAGTGTTAAAGGTTCTTGAAACCAAATTGCTGTCTCATTGTGAGCAGTGAATAGTATAACCAAGTCAGTGTTCGATCTGGTCTAAAGGAACTTATCAGTTAGGCAATAACTTTTATCGTGCCACATAACAACCTCTGCTTTTAGATAACTTACAGTCCAATAGGAGAAACAAGCAGTAAAACATGTGTTCATCATTATTTTAAATTACAACAAGGAGAGGGCCTCGTGGAGGGAGTAAGGACAGAGAAAGGGGACTACCATGAAAACAAATGTAAAGTAGGAGACTATTGGGTTAATCCAGGCAAGCTTCCTGGGAAAGATGGTCATCGAATTCAAGTTTGAAAGTCTGTTTATAACATTTGGAGGAGGAAAGTATTTGGCACCCTGAGGGCCAACGAAAGATTTTGTCCACAAATCTTGTTCATCCCCAGCCTCCTGTTTTGTCATTCATAAGGATAAATCTATAAGTTATGAGATGGGATGAATCAGGCTGCCATTTTAGTCCTCCAGCAGAGTTCAAGACATTAAACATGTGTGTCTTATATTCTCTCCGATAGATTGTATTATTGTTCAAAATACTCACTGTCTCTTCCTGTGGGGGGATTTTACATCCCTGTCAGACATGGCCATGTGATCTGCTTTGGTAAATGAAATGTGAGTGAAAGTGACATGTCAAATTTGAGTAAAAACTTTGAGAGCCATTGTGAGGTTCTATCATCTCTCCCTTTTCCCTCTGACGTAGCTCATTCGTGTCCCCAGACAGGGTTCCTCTATCAAGCTGGATCCCAAAGAGGAGAGGATGAGGAACAGAGCCACAAACTGACAGGCAGCCAACATGTAACATGAGTAAAATATTAACTTTCATTTTTGTAAGGCACTGAGAGAGGATCATTTGTTTTATAGTATAACTCAGCAAAAGTTGACTGATACACATTCTTTCCTGAAAATTGTATACAGTTCAGCCCAAGCTTTGACCTATACACCTAATAGAAGAATTGCCATTCCCTACTGGATGGGTCATCATTTTTATCCAAATACACAGCTTCAGCAAGACAAAAGTGCAGTCATGAAAGAGAAAGTGGAATTCTCAACCATTGAAGCCAGGGACTATTCTTCATCTATTGACTTTGAAGATGCTGAAGCTAGCTTGCCCTGTAGCTCTCTGTTAGATGTGCCAAGGGGATTCCATTTTAGAGACAGAGGAAAACTAACAATAGATTGCTGTCAACTAAAAGGGAATTTCCTTTTCTGGGAAGGAAAATCAATAAAAAAATTTAAAAAGCTTTATCTGCTAATTTATACTGAAACAACAATAGAGCTCTCCATAATATCATTAATAGTAATATCTCATAGAGAAATATAAAAGTAATGTACTCTAGACGAAAATAGTTTATAGAAGTTAGCTAAGTTTTTATTTGACGTTCCTTCCTCCTCTCTTCCTCTTCCTTTCAAAGTTTCTGCTTCATTTTCCTTCTTTGTCCTTTTTCCTTGCCTTTACCCAAAATCTACTCATGGAAGTCTTTGGATAATGCAGAGATGAGATACAGATAGATAGATAGACAGGCAGACAGATAGATAGATAGATAGATAGATAGATCTCCCTATTGAAAGCAAAAGATAAATATGCACTTATTTCTAGGAGTTCAGTCCATAACTCAGATATGAAAAAAACTTGCTTAACCCTCAGCTTCTAAAGCTTGAAAGTCTTCTAAAAGCCACTTGAAATTTGAGGATTTTTTGAAACTTTATTTTAAGTATAGTATAGTCCCATTTCCCTCAAGTTGCATGGCCATGAAAACTTCAATTCAACTCCATACGCTTTCACTGAGTACCTGCTGGGACCATAAAGTCAGGTAGAACTTGCAGTTTAAAAAGTATGGATTATCTCACTGAAGAGCCATTTTGTCATGAGCTTTTCATTCCAAGGGCAATTCCAGTTAACCTTACAAATATTCCTCAATTTGAAGTATGGTGGACATTATTATTTATTACATCCCATGCTTGGTAAAGTAGACAGCAAAAAGAGGAAGACCCTGAACAAGATGGACTGACACAGTGGCTGCAACAATGGATTCAAGCATAGCTGCAATTGTGAGAATGGCGCAGGACCAGGCAATTTTGTTTTGTTGTACATAGGGTCGTTACGAGTCAAAACCAACTCGACAGCACCTAACAACAACCACATTGCTAGTAAATGCTGTTCTGTCCCTAGCTGTGCTGAGTTTTTTAAATGTTCACTATAAGGTGTATGTGCAAAGGTAGGCTTACCATTTAATCACCCAAGTCACTTTTTGGAAATTGAGCATTAAAAGGCAAGGCAGAAACTTCCAGTGTTCAGACATTGAAACATATTAAAAGCAAGAGTAGGAGCAGTGAGATTTCTGTGCCACGGTGTCTGAATTTGCAAAGGTTTTCTGATAATCAGAGGAGGTATATTGAGTTACTCGTGGAAAATGTTTTGTGTTACTTTTGTAGCTTTGTGATAAAGTGAAAAGAGCCCTGGGTGAGGAATTAGGAATTTCAGAATTTCTCAAAGGGTTTCATATGCCATATTTTTGTAACCTAACAAAAAATGTAAATGTATTACAATTTCATGACCATGAAAATGATAAACTACTTTTTGTTCTGGATCGCTTTAGTCCAGTATAGAATGATTATAATCAGATTGATATGTATAAGAATTCAAAGTCAATTATGAATACATGTGGAAGAGAGTTAATGCAATTTTTCATAGTTGCTCCTTGTTTAAAACCATCAAAAGAAAGGGGAGTATTGCAAAACTCTGCAGTCCAAAAGTACAGTAGTCCTTCAGCTACCCAATACACAAAGCATATAATGATGATAATTCCTGGGTATATCAACCAAGGAATAGGCCAGCTGATCGTTAAGTTCCCTCACTATAAGAATAATAATTATGTGAGTGCTAGGGTAGGTCATTCCCTCCCCAAGTTCAAACTTTCAGGGAAGACAGAATGTGACTGCCTAACTGGCTCTTTTTTGAAAGCCAAATGCCAAGTAAGTCAGTATCTTAGGATATCAGTGCTATAAAACTCACGAAACACCCAGCATGTGACTTTGAGAACATTAATTACTGGAGGTTAGAACTAAGTGAAACTTTTAGAAATTTTGTAGTCCGTTTCTCTTGTTTTAAAGAAGTGAATACTGAGGCCCAGAGAAATAGAGTAACTTCGTCAAGGTCACAGATCTAGCAGTAACAGACTTTGCCCTGATCTGCTACCTCCTAGTCTGGGGCTTTCCTCTCTGCTATGTCTTTCGGAAACCAACCACGGTCTTCTAAAATTGAACTCAGGAGTAACAGTCAGGAAACGTGAATCTATTAGGATAGGATTCCAAAGTATGGCATATCCCTTTGATAATTTAAATATAGTAGCAATACTAAAAATGAGATCCTACTATAGAGGCTTAAAATGTGTGCGTGTGTTTGTTTGTTTTTTCACACCCAGTGTTATGGATGAAAAAAGGAGCCCTGGTGGAGCAGTGGTTAAGAGCTTGGCTGCTAGCCAAAAGGTCAGCAGTTTGAATCCATCAACTGCTCCTTGGAAACCCTACGGGCCAGTTCTGCTCTGTCCTACATGGTCTCTACGGGTTGGAATCAACTCAACAGCAATGAGTTTGGGTTTTTTTTGGGGGGGGTT